GATACAGCATACAAAAGCTCTTAGGCTGGTACACGTGTTCCTCTTTCCAGGTTTAAATTCATGTACAAGAATCAGAACATTCCAAATTGCAGTTATATACAAGCTGGGAAGCTACATAAGAGGTGATACTTAGAAGGACAGAATAATTTTATCGTCTGATCACATTAAAAGAAAAACTATTTAAAGTATCATGAAGGGATACTTTAAAGCAAGTATGTGAACAAATTGCTAGCTAATTTACTGGTGATTGAACATGTATTTTATTCCCAGTGTTTCACAGCAATGAGAAAGACAATTCAATGTGTAAACCTATTTAAGAGTTCTTTAATGTGACCTAGATTTTAGAACTCTGTTGCTGCCGCTAGAAAAGCAATTTATTCCTTTTCCATTCACTTACCTTTAATGAGAAAAGATGAATCAGCTTTTGAATAGGCACTGTCTGTACTGACTTTCTAATCAAAACATTTTAATAATGAAAAACAAGTAAGTGATATTATTATACCATAAAATGGAGATGCTCTAACAAGATTAGGACAGACTTGTTAAGTAAATTTCCAGCATCTCTGATAAGAAGACTTCATTAAGGAACAAATCTTTAGAAGTCTTTGCACGTGTTCAGTTCTTACTGTGACCCAGCCATGAAAAAATTAAATGACTTGGTGCCTCTTCCCATACTTGTTCTCAGTAACTGTGGAAACGACAGTCAAAACTGTGTAGAACCAACAACTGTGCCGGATGGTGGGTACTTCCTAAGTTCCCTCATCTTAATTTCTGTTGACATAATGATTAGAATTTTTTTACATGTATTGACAATTAATTACAGTACAACGTCCTTGACGTGAGGAAGAAGAAAACAGAAATACTTCTCAGTTTTGCAGCATGCAAATTGCTCCCAATCAAAGAAGTCAGAGACGGGAATTGAACCCATATGTTCTCAATTCCAGATAGTGCCTCAAACTCCAGGCTGTTTTTGACCCGCCAGCACAGGTCAGCCCAGGATGCTGGTTGTCAGAGAGGAGGGTGCCCAGATGTCTGTTGGGGTGCACGTATCTGCACACCAGTCAGGGAGTAACTATCTCCTCATTTCAGGTACTAAAAAATTAGATAACCATTACAGCAGGAAGCACAACCAAAGCTGTTTGTGCAGTTAATGCTGAGTTAATTTTCCATGGCTATGCAGTTAGGAGCACCCTGAGAGTGGATTAATGCTAATTTCCTTTGCTTAGAATGTCAGTGCATGCTGAAGCCATCAGTGCTCATCTTGCATAGGAGGGGCAATGTGCTGCTCTGTCAGTTCCTTCAGTTGGCACATTTTTTTCACTTCTTTTCAGTAGGTAGGAGTGAGAAGCTGAGGGCTAGCAGAGTTACTTAGACGTACATGGTGAATGTGGTGCACAAATGTGAAAACTGAAATGGGAAGAGGCATGGAAGAAGTTGATTGCCAAGAGTGGAATAGGAAGATTTCAAAAGTGTATTTTGAGAATTTGCAATAGCAAAACATAATTGCTTGGTGCTTATGAAGGAGATCCAAATGAGGTACAAAATATACATCTCGTACTGAATCTGTCATCTTGTCCCATGAAGCATGTATATCATGAACGGGAAGCTGGGGATGGTGATTTTGGCTCCTGTTAGTGGTTGGTACAATTATTCTGTTGGAATCTTTCACAATTAGGATAAAATAAATATGCTAATTTTGGTACACAGTGAATTAGTGAATTTATTTTTCTTCAGATTTACTATGGAAAAAAGGCATCTATCCTAGTTTCTAGGAACATTTGACAATTGTTATAATACACTGGTCCTGAAGTCACGTCTGTCTATAAGTAAAGCCCTTCTTTAACTCAGGTGTAGTTACAGTGGCTTTAGTAACAGGCTGAATGGGTGTTGTTTTAATGCATTCTCACAATTCTTGCTTCATAACAAAATAGTATTTCTTACTTACTTTGGTCCATACTTACTGTGGAGCTCAGCTGAAAGTAGTTATGTGGTTCTCAAATTGAAGGTGGTACATGCCAGCCCCTGCATGGATTAATTTCATCATCAGTGCATAAAAGTAAGATATTGCTTAGCAATAAAGGCGTATCATGTAATAGTATTACTTTTTAAATCTCAGACAATCTCTGTCCAATTCTAATTTTAGGCTTTTTCATTTGTTACCAATGAATGCTTTCTAATTAAACTTATATTTAACAAATGCGTCAGGGAGCGGTGCGAGATGACAGTGATGGAAGTGGGTGGGTGGCACAATAGATGGTGACAAGAGGATTTGATCCAGTGAGGAGAGGAGGAGACAAATGAACTCCAGAACAGAGGGAGTAGTAACCAGGGGAGCAAGAGAAAGGGATGCTGTGGAAAAAATGATTTGGAGCAGGTCTGTGCACTGAAGTACTCCAGGCTGTTCCCACTTGGTCCTGCGTGCCTCGTGTGCAGAGGATTGGCTTTTGAAGTCAGAACGTGTTATTCCACATTAGTGAAATTAGCTGGAAGAGGACAGTGCTGACTTAGTACAAGAATGTACTCGAGAGAGCACTTCACTTCTATGAATTTAGCTTTTTTAGCCTGGGAATGAACTTAGGAGCCAGTATTAAAATGTAATGTATGTAAGGACATGGTGCAGATTTCTTCCCCAGCTATGGCCCATGTCTCTGATTGTACAGTAATTATTGTGTGTTGTGAAAATAATACTGTGTTCTTAACTGATCACAAACAGGCAGTCATGTTAATAGTGAATATAAGAAATAAAGAGCTTATGGTTTTCAGTGTAAGTTATTAAATAATGCATGTTTTCTGGAAGGTTTCTCTCTACAGAAATAATCAGTATAATTTTAAATTCCTTTCGTGTTGGAATTTCAGGGAATGCAGTCTCTCTTGGGCATTCTGCATGCTTAAGAGATGTTCTCTGTTTCTTACCAAGACTTGGTGCAGTTGCACAGGATCAGGCCAGTGCCTAGCTGATGGCATGGCTGGATTGTCAGTGTTCCCTCTGGGCTATAAGGATTTATCCAAAGGTCAGTGGTTTTCTGTTAGCTGATAATGGCTTATGTACCTCAGCTTGTTCTCACACAAATGAGCATCTTCTACAGCGTACCTTACAAGAACAGCATCCATTGCTGAAGCAGACAGACTCAGTGCAGCCCAGTTATTTGCTGCAGCTTTTCCATTCCTTCAAAAAGGAAGTCAGAGTATTTCACAGTGATGTTACTGCACAGTATGGTGACTTCTGCGGTTTCTGCATAATTGTGTTTTGTTGTATGCATCTGATTGCTGTCGGCTAAGCAGAAGAAAGCATTTTATTGCCTTAATGAAGTGAGGTGTGCTTATTTTTCATTACACTACGAACCTCCTGCATAAAAACAGGCCTCAGCTAGACTGTTCACTTCTCTTTTTAATTACAGTATTAATAATTGTATCCTACAGAATGTAAAACTGTATTTAAATAGAGGATATTAGCAGTTAGTTGAAAAACATGCATTTTTTTGTTTTAATAGCATTCAGCTTCTGAAGGGATACCTTTTTTTTTTCTTCAAATAATGTTTCAGGAATGTGATTCTTTATCCATCTTGAAGGCACCTATTAGTAACCTCAGTGCCTGCATGACTATTGCTCTCACTTGAACTTAAGAGTGCATTCCAGGAAGAATTTGTTCAAATTTGGATTTCCTAATTCCTAAGCTAGGAAAAAAAAGGACACCTACAGTAAAGTCTGATCCCCAGGTACTGATCAGAGGTCATTCAGTCTTGGTTCCTGAAATAAGCCATCTGACTGAGCATTGTTCATATCTTAGCATTTCCATTGTATCCATGCTGTTTCCGATAACTGTACCAAGTTCTTCAAGGGCAATTATTAGAACAAAAGCACTTCTAATAGTTAATAATTTCATGATTACCAGAAAGATCTTAAAGTTGATCATATAAGCCAGTGTTCCAGTAAAAATGAGATCTAAGCTTTCACCGTGTGATTTATTTTTTTCATTACTCTCCTAGTACCTAACTACTGTTCAATGCAGTGCATTTGTCTCAGTAAGAGATGTTTGCTGACATAGATGGGTCGGTATCATATGATCAATAGGAAATGGAAGGCACAAGGTCGTCTTTCACCATGTTCTGTGTCAAAATAAGAACAGTATTTTTCCTAAAGCTTGGTTTCTAGGAACACTGCTGACTGGAGACAAGCCACCCTGCCAACCTTACTCTAAATTAGCATAAATTTCAATTGCCAGTATTTCCCAGATGTCTCCACTTGAAAACTACTGACTCCATCTTTGTTTTATTAAATCGCAACAAACAAAAGAAGAAAAAAGAATTGAATTTGATATGTGAAAGACAAGAATTGAATGTCCCTTTAGAGTACTATTCACAAAATAGAGTCCATTTGTTTGTGGGAAGAGCACTTGAAATGCTCTGAAGAATAAAGTACCACACAAACAAATGCCAGAAGTGCATACTCTCTTCTGGAAGCTGTTTTCCTGGACCTCTAACTGTTTTTGTAGTTAACTTGCAAGTAAGCACTAAAATATACGTAAATTATTGGCAGCTTCAAAAAACAAAGAGCCATTTTATGCCTGACCCACTCTTGACAAACAGGGATGAATCCTCCTCCACAAATTTTTGCCTTAGCTGTGCCGAACAGCATAACTCACACGGGAGTTTCTCTGCCAGTCCTGCATCACTGATGGCTCCAGTCTATCTGGGATTTTCCCATATTCCAGGAGCGCTCAGGAGTTTGAGACCAGCCATCAGATGACCAGCAGGTTGGATCTTCGGCTCTCCATCTCCTTTGCGTGGCCTAAATAACTCAAAGAGAAGAGCCAAAGGCATTGGAGATCCTAACTGATGAGTTCTGCACGACCACTGAGGCCATTAAGGAGGGTTTGAGTGTGAACAAGAGCATAAATTGCTGGATGTTGGAAAGAGATCAGAATTCAAAATTTCATTTATCCAAAGTTTGAGAAAACTGTTTAATAGTGTCCTTTAGGAAACCTTTTCTAACAGATGTACTTTTAATAGATAATTACTATTTCTTCAAAAACTTCATCATTTTGGAGAATTGTAATATTAAATATCAGTCCCTAGGAGGTAATTGAATAGTAGTGAACAGTAAATTTTGATCCATTCTTACTACAGTCTGTGAATCTCTTCATTTCTTTAAGTAATTTTGTCATCAGAAAATATTAAAACCAAAATGTTTTGGTCTGCACTATTTATTCATTAGGGAAATAACTCTCTTCAGATTCAACTCAATGCTTGTGCTGTAATATCTGCTACTATTAGTCTCATCTGCTGTTCTCCACATTTCCTGTCCTATAATTGTACTTAACTTAGTGAAGAGCAGGAATAATATTTCTGCACTACTTACAGGTTTGATAACTGCCCAGTAAAGTGAGGTTTCTCCCTAAATTCTCTGCTCTCCTCCTTGCTCTTTTAGTGACATACCTTTGATGACACAGTGTGCATCTTTTGTTCCAGGAGAACTATCCTGAGGCATGAGGGAGGGTACATGGGCAAAATCTTCCATTTTTTTCACCCTGTACAAGTTTCTAATTTGGCCTTATCTTTATTGTTCTATTTAGTGCAGTCAGCCAAGTATCAGTACGTTTTCTTTGTCCTGTTGAACCAAAGAAGTAAACAAGATCACTGAGATGCACACTTCATGTAGTAGCAGAAAAAAGTTTGGTTAGCCCCAGGGTTTCATTCCCTCTGCCTTAAGCAGTGGGAACTTGATACAGCAGTTACTGCAGCAGGCATCTTGCAGCTGAGAAGCAAGCAGTCCCCCTCGGATACTGCCTTGCTGCTCTGTAGCAGCTGCAGCAGTACTGGCACATACAATAGCAAGCAGTTTGTTGTTTTTCTTTTTTTGCATAAAATTATATACCTCTCCTTTGCATTAAGCCTAATTAGATGCATACATTCTGAACCAAATAATGGTAGATTATAATATATTTTGGTTAATATGCTCTCTAGGGAGACTCTATTCTGTTTGGGCAAAGGGTGCTTTGGATGTATTCCTTTTGTTTTGCATGCATTGTTACTTTTGTATTATTACCTTCTTGCAAAAGACAAATAATTGTAAAAATCTGAATAGCTAGAAGCCTTGTATTTTCTGCTGTGAGGAAATTATTTTTAAATACTGGAAATCTGACTCTTTTAAAAGATTATACATGCTGACAACTACAGTTAAGATACATTATTTATGAAGTTTCATCAAAGAATGTAGCAATTCACAGAAGAAATGATAAACATGTAGGAAACCTAAGACTGCCGTGGGTTACATAGGCTAAATGTGGTCTTCAGACTGTGCTTCTGCCTGTTTGAGCTCCTTTACCTCCCATTTACCCCAGGTGGGAGCTTCGCAGTCTTCCAAAGCAAGTCCTAGGAAAGACAACAAATCTGACCCCAGACGGTGTGAAAAAACACCGCACTAGCGAGTAGATCAACTTTTGAATGATTCATGGAGAAAGTGAGCTGGAAGTAAGTGAAGATGGTGTCTGGGGAAATACAAGACAAAAAATGAGAGCCTCCTGGCTACCGTGGGAAATACCAGAAACTTAGAGAAATAACTATAAATCTAACAGTGAGAGAAGGGCATGAGGAGAACAGTGGTTAAGGACAGTTAACAGTGAAAAAGTGTGGAAAACTAAGGCATTAAAAAATACAAAGGTGGAGCTTTGAAGAACATGGAGATAGAGTAGGATATACAAACTACTGCATATTAAGTGAGAAAGGCAAATAAAGCTGTAGAGTTATCTTTGCACTTTCATTTACAGCTGACAAATGTATTCACTATTTATGAAAAGCAATCTTTCGTGGTTGCATCAGTTATCATCGCTACCTACGTGCCAGCCTTTATTTAGAAGGAAAAAAAGGGAAATAATTTTAGACAAATGACCAGCGTAAAATGTAATTATCAGTGATGAATGAAACAGGTGATGTATGGGATCAGAGTGAGCACAGAGGAGATGCTGAGGTTTTATTCTTAATAGAGCAAGTGTGTTGTCACTTGTTTTGGATTTGTGTGTTTTGTGCAGAAATGAGGAAAAGCCAGGGAAGATGGTAGTAACTGAAGGATGAATCTTATTTCCCTTCTTATCATTAGAAACTATCCAACTTGAATAAAATTCCCATGATCTATGGGAAGGGCAGAAGAATTAGTGATAATATCTAGTGTATTTATAACTTAAAAACATCCTTTCCTACTTTCCTCTGTAGGAATCAAAGCCTGAAAAGTGTTACACAGCAACTACTTGGTATTAAAGGGAAGAGGCTGTGGATTATTCCTTCTCAAAGGCAGTAGGTGGAAAGTTCTGAGGACCAGATTACGTAGATTTATGCTAAATTGAAAATGTAAAGATGCTTGAGATAAGTGGGAAATACGGGTCAAAAAAGAGGAAAAATGTGATTGATGCACTCTTTCCTTTTCAAAGCTGTACAAAACTGTGACGGCACACAGGTACCTGTTCTCAGGTCACCCATCTGAATTCTGAGTTCTGGTAGACATCCTTGTTATTCATCACGTGGTGTCTACATCCAGCTGTGATTACCTCATGGCTGGTCTGTGCCTGCTTCACTTGCCAGTGCTTCCATAGCTGTGGTGAACTTTGTTTCTCTTTGAGAACTGAAGCCGTCCCGTTCCAGATTTTGAAGAAGAACGCACTAGAAACAAAGATGTGACAATTTGAGAAAAGAAAATCACTGTTTTAAGAAAGAATTTCCCTCCCAGAAAATGTGTGCACTTAGGGCATGCTTTGGTATGAAGAAGATTTTGAAGATCATATGGTGTGTGCAGGCCAGCATGTTTTCCAAATACAAGTTTTAAATCTAAAGCAGGCTCACAGATGGTTCTAATGAGCTGGTCTTTGAGATTGACTGTGACTTGAACAAAAATAGTGGAACTTGTAAGACAGTAACATTTCCAGATGACTTCAAGCTAAAACTCTTGCAGAACAATCTTCATGCATCTTTTAACTGCACATATATATTTCTAGTCTACAGAAAAAATGAAGGGATTTTTAGGATTTTCTTTCTTTTATCTTCATTCATTATCTTGGAGTTGGTCTGAATTTCCAAATAATTATGTAGCAGCACAGAAGATGGTGACAAGCCAGACAGTAGAGGAGTTGATTCTGTCCAGATTGGTACTTCATATAGCCATCTGAATGAAAAGCTATAAAAACAAATTAAAACAGACCTCAGTGAAGCACAGGGTTGTTTTTGCTGATATTATAAAGGTGTGAATTACAAGAAAAGTTCCAAAGACCAAACTGCTGCACTCCAATTTGACCAGACTGTCAGCTTCAGGAAGAGAAATGCTGGTAATAAAAGTATCATTGAGTGGTTTGTAGCTTCTTTGTGCAGCAAATATTAAACTGCATTGCTTATATTATCATCTGTGACAAAAAGAGTAAGAATTTGTTTATAATCTTTTCATGAAATGCCTCGAACTTACGCCATTTCAAAACCATTTGTTCCTTGTGTCACCTAAATTTTGAGACTTTTTTTATTTCATTGCAGGTCTACCTTATGGATGGGAAGAAGCTTATACAGCAGATGGAATCAAATATTTTATCAAGTGAGTATTTCTGAGAGGAAATGGATTGCAGCTAAAATAAAATCCCATCTAAAGGCATTTTTAAACCTAGATTGAACAGGAAAAAAGAAGAGCAAATTAACAAAAGCTCTCACATTTTTAATACACACCTTTATTACCAACATCACTTGTTCATTCCTCTGGTTCAGTACTGCACTGTTCAGAAAGTTCTACAGGGCTCGGTCACAAAGTCAACTGAAATTCAGTGAGAACTGTGAGATTCTGTCTTTCAGATGTCTTTGAAAACCCCAGTGCACGTGTTGAGAACTTCCCCAGCTGTGTTTGACCATATAACAGACCTAGAAGATACAGAAGGAAAAAAAAATCCCCCAAAAATTGTATAGTAAATATATCCATTTGCAAACGTTCTTATATTCTGGGGGAAGTGGAAGAATTCTGAGGGCTGGATTTTTAGAACATATCAGTCTTGTTTCATCGGTGGATTTTAGTCCCATTGTGGCATTAAGGACCCCAGAGTCCAGCTGTCCTACCAAATGTGTCAGCTGCCCTAGAAGGTGGAGTTCTGTCTGCTCTCCTCATTCTGCAGCACTCATAGCACATTGTAACTAGAAGGAGCATCTTTCCCTGGTCACCTCCTGTCCTGAATGGACATCTTGGGGAGAACTGCCTTAGCAATGAATTCAGTCTCTGAGCTATCTGCAGCTACTGATGACTTTTTAAATATGATCTCCTGTTCCCTTCTGTGGGAATCAGTTGTTCTGTTGCTGCAAAGCATTTTTTTTTCCAGAATATAGTGAAAACTAATTCATGTAATAGTTTTACTATTCCTCTAAAAGACAGAAACAATTGCTGAGAAACTATAATTTATCTCCATTCTGTATACATCACGAATGATTGCTTACATCGTAGCAGATTATTTCAGCTACTGGAATTCACATACTGTTTAAGTCTGATTTTGAAGGTAGATTTCCCTGAAGTCTCTTAAAAGACGTGAAAGGCAGTGAATCTTTGCACTGAGATGCAACTGCTTTTATCCCAAACTCTTGCAAAAGTCACATAAATAACAGTGAAGGTTATGTATTAGCTAGTGAAGAAAAGCAGGAAATTGGTTTTTTTTGGTTTTTGGTTTTTTTTTCAAGCACTGCTGTGTTGTCCTTGACTCATCCCATGGTGCCTCAGGCTCTGCGTGTTAAAGCAGACGTGATTTGTTGAGTTTTTTTGCAGAGGTTTTCAAACACACCATACACAATAGTGCATTCCAGCTCTAGTCAAAGGGTGGCTTTTATTTTCAGACAGATATAAGTTACTAAATGGGATTTATAAAAAATGAAATTGTAGGCAAATAATTTAGGAAATGAAAACAAATCGGCAGCCAATTTCATAACAATGCAAATAAATACAAGAGCGAGTAAGAAGCAGAGCACTGTTCACTTGGTCTCCATCTTGATGGGCGTTGATACAGGGAGACGTTATGGCACAGTCGGATGCTTAGGGTGGATGCTGGGTTCTGTTCTGGGTAAAGCACTTGGAATACAGGCTTTTACCAGCGTAACTGGGAACTGAGCTTGAAGAGAGAATTTTGCAAACAATACACTAGCAACAGAATAAAAGAAATCTAACACTTTTTCCTGGTTTTGTTACTGGTGTCTTTCATACAAGTGTTTTTGGGTGTCAGCAGAAAGCTGGGTTTGGTCAAGAACTCTTAAGATCTGCTCTTGGCTGTGGAACTGTTGCAGCTGTACTAATGAGATGCTTATTAGCAACAGCGGAATCTCAGCCTTTCCAGGTGGTAGAAGTTAATTTCAGAAAGCTTCCCATGTTTTTCACATTGCCCCCACTTGTTGAAGCTACAGATCTGAACTGAACAGATCACATGAACAAGTTTTTTAGGAACTTTTGCATATCTGGCCTTTGACCATTAATGGATCAAGAATGTTCTTCCCTCTTCTTAACATGCTCCTAGCATTGCAAGTGATGGAGCCCTGGGTTCTCCATCATTGCCACTTTCTGTAACCTGTCCTGTGATCACCTGTCATGTTCTAAATGGAACAACCACATTTGTTAAGAGGTCTTAATTCACTTCATTAGAACAGAATTAATTGAATGCAAAGATAAAACATGATATTAATTAGTATTTTTTTTAACCTATTTCCTAATTTTGTTTATATCTTTGTTACCAAATGTACATACAGAGTGTAAGCCAGGCTCTTCATAGGCTTGAAAATTCATACCTCTTCAGTATTCATCTCAGACAGTTATTTGGAGAAAGGAACAAGGGTTGCAAGTCACTTGTTTCTAATGTAGCTTGAAGAAATTTGAAGATAAAATTCTACCTAATATTAAAAATATAATTGAAAAAATCTTTGGAGCTTGCTTGAGATGCATCTTTATCAGCTCATCCTTTTCAGATAATTAGACAATTCACATAATTTAATTCATTTGTTTAAATTGATTTAGCTGAATAATTGATAATTCACCGTCCTGGCACTGTAAACTTGTTCTCTTTGGCTGTGAATATCAATCCTTTTATTCTTTGATGTTTAGAAGATCCAAAGCCACGAGAGGTGTAAGAATTATTTAGCAGTTGCCTTCAGTTCCATTGTGCTTTATTGTGCCATCAACTAGCTGAGTCCATAAATCTATATGCTATAAATCTAATGTGGTAAACACCCCAGAACGGAACCTTAATAGCACATAAGCTTGAGACAGCTTGCTGTGAAATTCCCATAAATATCTCTGAAGGGGGTGTAGCAATATGAAGCGCATGAGAAATCTGAGTTTAAAAGAAGCAAACCAGCTGGCTTGTGTTACACACTGAAGTGAAAACCCACTTATGTGAATAAATGACATGAATAAAACATTTACATGGCTCTATTCCTAAGGCACTAAACTGCTCTCCATCTACTGTGGAAAGACTCATCTTGTCCACCTCTATGTACCTGCAGATAACTTTCTGAAGTCACCTCTTTCTTTTACTCAGGAAATGATTTCAGTTTTGCAGTAAATTATTATCAATCAACCAAGTTGCTAAGGATCAGTCACAAAGTGCAAGTGAGGCAAGTGAGAGGAAATTAGCTTTAAGGCTGCTATCGTGTCATAAACTCACGTACCTCTATGCAAGGCATTAAGGTCATGCGCATAGACTTACCGTGCAATATCAGATAGCAGCGTATGCCTCTCTGCGTTATGCGTCAGCATACAGTGCAGCAAGAGCAAGTTTCAGTGTTCTGCAATATAATATAAAGGAAGTTACCAAAAGGACAAAAATTATGCCAGTAGACTAAAAGGCAGCAATCAGCTTCATTGCTAATGTGGTTCTGCTCTCCTCTTGCTGAAAAGTTGAATTTGGCCCCAGATATGTTTTGAAATAATCTGATATACTTTAAAGTAATGGATAGTGCAAGCGTTATTTTATTTTGCCTGCCAGCAATACAGTCGTTCATCCACGTGCAGCCCCAGATTCATGCCCCCTCACACGATGTCTAATAGAAATACATGCCTGCTTCTTCACTATTTTACCCTTGATATTTCTATCCCTGTTTACATCGGTGAATTTGTTTCAGAAGAGCTGAAATCTTGACCTCGTGAACTTAAAGCAACAACTGAACGTAGCCCAATGGGTTCCTCAGCAGTCCACTGCAATTCCAAAATCAGAGAAGAAAATCCTAAGTCTTGATCAGAAGGAATCTCTGGAGGTCAAGTCATCAAACCTTCCGCGGAAAAGTAAATGAGAGTCCTGTCAAACCAAGACCTGGACGTTTCCAGTGAGGAAGGTTCCACCACCTATCCGAGCACCCTATTCCAATGGGCACCTGATGATCTGTGAAGGTGCCTTCCAACTGAACTATGCTATTCTACTTACAATATAGCTGGGACACTAATTTTTTTCCTCAGAAAACCCATCAAAGTTGATCGCTTCCACCCTCCCACTACATTCACCTTTAACATATGGCAGCTCTGTATCATGAGACTGGCACCTATAATTAGGTAGGGCCTTGCTATTCTCCCTCCCACTCCCACCCACTGCTTACATATGTATACAGTTTGTAAGGACCAGCTGTGAATTTTGCCCCTGTAACACCTCTTCTAGCTTTTTAACAGGACTAGGTTCCAGCTATTCCATATTAACTGTTATTTTTCTCAAGAACATTTACCTTAAATTAAATTAGCCTAAAAGACACACAGAAGTTCCTTTAATGTTTTGGGATGCTTTCTGTTAGATGAATTAGGACATATGGATTTTCTGTCTTATATTAAAAAGGAAATGGTAATGTTTGATTTAGGATTATCTTTCATTAATTTACCTAAAAATGAGAAGCTTCACATTGAAGCACTGCGTATTTCAGTGAGACAAAGCAGGCACAGGTGCTTTGACAGCATGTCAGTGTAACTGAGAGTAGAAGACAAGCAATACATACATTACAGGTTAATAAAAACACACAGTGTGTTATGGTAGCTTTTGAAATCGTACCTAAAATTATGCTTCTACTTTGGAAAATAACAAATTGGACTTATTTTTATCATATTCTATTTGTTTTGGTTTTGTATGGGAAGGAGCCAACATTAATTCTACTGAAAGCTGGGCAGTCACAGAAACTGTTTATGATTTTGTGACTCAACTAAGAATAGAAAGCATGTGTGGTAAATGAACTTCTGCAGTGTAAACAGTGAAGTAGAGCTAAAGGTATCATCGTAAATGGAAAATAAATCACAGCTGATTTTACTTAGCGTGCTCAATTGAAAAACAAACCTGCTCCTTTTGTAAGTGCACTTTCACATCTCTACTGCATTGCAAAGAACCCAAAAATGTAGCACATCGATGTGTTTGGTTTTTCCTCTGCTATTTGATTCCAGCATGTATTAGTGTATTGCAATATACTAGTTGACCACAGGCAATCTAAGAAGAAATCAAGCTCAATTTAGATCAAATTGTAGCAGAGGTGATCTAAGAGTAAACTGCATGTTCCAGTAAGGTTGGTATTTCAGTGACTTCAGAGTAACAAACTAAGGGAAACTCTGATCTGCTGCACTGAACATGCAGTGGGAATGAATCAAGTATGAGCTCTGCTCCTACCTCCCTCTACAGAGGTAGACTTTTGGCTAACAAAAAGACTTAAAGACTTACTGGTAGTAATCTGAGATAAGGTGAAAATTCACAAGAATTTCTAAGGTTTGGAAGCGTATCATCAGCAGATGATTAGGTTGTAGGGAATTCTGCCAGTCTGATTTTCACTAGTTGCATGACTATAAGAAAAATAGCCTCAGATGTGCAACCAGAAAACTTGGCTTTGGATTTTATGATAACATGAGCTTGTAATACAAGAATGTTGAGTCCTTAAGCTGCTTTTGGTTGGATAATTTTTTTCCTTCAGAGGCTGTTTGTTTTTTAATTTCAAGAACCAAAATGGAGAAGCGTTCTTTCAGCTTCCACAAACACTGCTGTGTCCAGGTTCTGACGTGTCATACGAGGCAGCTGTTAACATTTCAGTAAGGAAACACTTAAAGCTGAAATTGCTGTTTTGCTCAAGCCTTGTAAATTCGACGGAAATCAGTGCATTGATTTCTGTTGCCTCTGCTGGGTAATTCTACTCTTAGCCTGGTGTGATCGAGTGTCTAGTTTTCACTATTTAACAACTTCTATAAATAGAGCTGGATGCTGGAAAGATGAGGCTCCCAGGAAGTTTTCCTGTGCTGGGGCATTTATGGGCTGAGTCGGGGCTCTTGGGATCCTGCGTCTGGGGAGAGGCAGAGCAGGGCACAGTAAGGGTTTGCTCCATGTGTGTTTCGTGTGAGGCCTGGGGAGGCACTCAGCACTGTAACTGCACTGGTTAACGCAGCGCTGTAGGGTTAACAGCAGCTGGCTAAAACTGGTGTGAGGAGGAATTCAGGTCAGACTTGTGAAACTGTGAGAAGTTTGTATATCCTATCACTCAGACCTTTGGGCTTACTCAGCTTTGGCTCTGATCCCATTTTTATTACTGCTTTCATTTTCAGTGGGCTCATTAGTTTGTTGTTGGTAATTTTTAATGATCGAGCATGCCATTTAGATGCGCATATCTTCCTAGTGATAACAGACTTCTGAGATTGCTCATACATTTTTCTTAGTAGACAACTGCTTTATCCAGGGATGAACAGCGAGACTCTCTTCTTTTGCTTGGTATCCCTCAAGCATTAATTACCATTAAGCCAAACCTTCAGTCCCTGAGGGACATTAAAGAAAAAATAACAACATTTATGACACCTTAGGACACAGTGACAAGTGCTCTCAATCTTCCTGCAGCCGAGGAAAGGTGATGTCAGTCCATCCTTCAGGACCTAGCAGCTCCCTGGATAGTTTTATACACTGTGCCTTGAAGGAGTGGCCACTTTTAAACCAATTTTAACAAAGGAAGGGGAAAAAAAAGAATGTTTAATTTCAAGTAATCTGATTTTCATAAATAGAAGAAGCCTTCCAAAAATGCCTGTACGTTTGTATTCTCTCTTGCTCGTATTGATGGCCTAACACAAATCAGAGAGGATGTATTTCTAATACAGGAATGTTCTGCAAACCAGTAAATCTGGGATTATCTCTTCAGACTGATTATGTCAAAGCTTTTTAGCCACAGCACTTGTAGGGAGCTAAAAATAAATAGCAGGAGGTTTCTACATCTACTCTTTACCTAAATCATGTTGTGCATATTGTGTATGTTTTCTTACAATGCATGTCTTTTTACAACTGCTTTTTACATGCTATCTGGACTTAACAGTTATTTACAAGAGCTATTTCCTAGTAAGGATTTTAACAAAAGGTTTAAAACAAACTGTACTACTAGAAGCATGGGACAAAGTTTAGTGCAAGTTTGCAAGAACTGACTTCTAAGGTATGCAGCAGGTCAAGGCATCTACAGGTGAAAAATGAGAAAAAAAAATTCAAAAATAATTTGGTTCTTATTTAAATTCAGAAATGGCTTGCTGAGAAATGGCTTGATAAAAGGCAGTATAAACACCTGAATGGTACTGCAGGCAATAAATCTTGCATTGGCAGTGAATGAATGGATGGAATCCCGTGATTCCTCAGGCATTGGAAGGCGCTGTGTCTCAACGCAGGTAGATGGAAAGCAGTCTCCATACCTGTAAGTCAGTGTGATGAACTCTGACCCGCAGAATCCTACTTTGGTGAATCAGTTTCCATTATCAGATACTCTGTATAGCATTCTTGAAGATAAAAATGCAAACTTTTCACTTGAAAAGGTAAATCTAGAGTAGTTTCATCACAACTTCATGTTAAACTTATGCACCAGAAATGTGAGTACAGAAATGAGCTTTAGGTACAGTTAGTAGTTGTGAGACTTAACTGAGGAGAACTGCTTGTTTTTTACAGTTTATATTAAATATGCCATATTTTTCAGCAACTTTTTCTCATGAACTTGTATTAAAAAATTCATCTTTGCACTGGCCTGACTATAAAAACAGTGAATTTATTAGCAAGATTTTTTAAGTCCAGAGAAGCTATTTCCTTTACCAAGAACACATTATTCCAGAAGGGAGAAGAGGCTGTGCTTTGCCCACACACAGTATGGCTAGCATGCATGCTACCAATCGTAGGGTGTGCAGCGTTCTCGCCCTCAGACAATAAGCACATCCCATTTATCTGTCCTTACTGAGTTTGAGCAGGTTCTTCCCATTCATCTGGAAGCTCAACAAAAATACCAAGCAGCTCAGACTCCTTTTCAAGTATAGGGTTTAGGCCTTTAAAAAGATAATACTCCTTTTTATTACTTACACAAAGTACACCTTGTTTGGGTTTACTCATCAACTTTTTTTCGGTGAGAAATATTAATGATGAGTGTTCAGTCCACTTCCTCTTATCCACAATGCTTCACTCTCTAACTGCTATGATGGCAATGTTAATACCTTGCCAGCTCGATGTGGGTTTTTTTAAGACTTTGATAGTCTGGGCTGTTCACTGTTGCTGGGTCAGTTTTACTCATTAACAGGAAATGTTGCTAGTTTGAACCAGGAATCTCCTAGAAAAGCACTCTTTCATTTTTTTAGAAGTGAAACTTTCCAGATTCTAGCATCCGGAAGACTCCTCATTTTGTTTGTAAAATCTCCTAGTTAGCAAGACAAAGAGAATTCATAATTTGAAAGTATTGTAATGATAACACAAGGCCTGAAAATGGATATCATCTGGCATTTCTTGTTTCAGAGATTGGTAAACCTTCTAGATTGCTGATAGCATATCTTT